AGGGGAGTAAACTCTTCATAAGGGCTGATAATAGCAGGACACGGGGAAATGGTTTTAAGTTAAAAGAGGGAGGATTTAGGTTGGATGTTAGGGGGAAGTTTTTTACTAGGAGGGTGGTTAGGTCCTGGAACAGGCTGCCCAGGGATGTTGTGGATGCCCCGTCCTTGGAGGTGTTCAAGACCAGGTTGGACGAGGCTCTGGGCAACCTGATCTAGTAAAGGTGTATGTTTGGTGGCCCTGCTAGGCAGGGGGGTTGGAACTGCATGATCCTTGAGGTCCCCTCCAACCCAGGTCATTCTGTGATTCTGTGATTCTGTGAGAATGCTGACAAGGTGAGAGAGGGTTCCTGTTAGTAACAATGCAAGCTGTAGTCTGTCTGACTGGCTGGGTGTTAGCATTGTGCCTGAGCTGTAAGAGCAGGTTAGGTTTATTTTCTCTGGCTGTGTGGCTCTTTGGTTGGTGCAAGGTGAGTGTGGTTCTTAACATGGAGCTGTTCAAACACGTCTTTGTAAACATCAAAGGGTGAGAGGACAGTTTTTTTTCTGTGTGAAATTGGTACTGTGCCTCTTCCCTTTGCTCTCCATCACCTCACAAACCTTATCTGCTGTGGAAGGGGATGTGGGGTGAGTCAGGCCTGATTCATCACTGCAAAATGAAGATGGCACAAAGGAAAAAAAAAACTCCAGGTAAAGTAGCTGGGGCTTCATGCCTCTGGCTGCAGGGAACCTGTCCTACCTGCTGTGCTGGGTGTGCCATGCCTCCCTGGGCATGAGAGCACAGCAGATGGGTAGGATAGGTATACAGGTATACAGGTATACCTACATACAGGGGTGGGAGGGTGAACAGAGACCCACAGGCAATGGGGGTGGGGAAACTGATGTGTATAGAAAGTATGGCATGATAATGCATATGTTACCTCTCATATCATGTGCTTTGTGTTCATCATATGTTATAGCTTCTCATATAGCAAAGATTGGGTACCTGATTGTATGCAGGCATATAAACAAGGCAGTGTTTGTGAGAGTGTGTGGTTTTGTCCATTACATAGGGCTATATTCTGTTACATGTATTGTGTGACTGTGAAATTCCATGTAGATACATACATACATGCATATATTACACAAAAATGAAGTGTATGCATGTAGTGTGAGTCTAAAATGTATATAAAAATGAGCTTTGTGGGAGAGATGCTTCACATATACACATAAAACTATATTATCTAAATATGTATTGCATCACATGCAAGGCAGTGTGAGTACAGCTTAGTACACACAGTTGCTGTACAGCTAATGATTAACTATTATACTTTCTATTGTATTGACAACATATAATACGGTGTGTAACACAAACTGTAATTATAACCATTGCAATTAAGCATTATGTAGTGCCACCTATTACTATTTTATACAACACTTGTATTGCTGAGACCATTTTGTTCCTTTGGTCTTTAAACACAGAGAAACAAGTTGAACTTGTTCTTCTCTTTGTTTATTAGAGCATTCCTGGGACCTTAAGACACAACAGAAACATCTTCCAGTACAAAAAGCCACCAGCTGATCCTCATCAGCTTCACCTGCTTTGCCATGAGGACAGAAATGGTTTCCACAATGCACATGTAAAATACAAGCTTGAGGAAGTGCCCACTGCTGCAGAGCTCTTTGGAAACACGCAGAACAAGGAAGCTGGGAGCTGTTACCTCTTCCCTACCTGTTCCTGTCTGTATTTCTCCTGTTAAAGAGAGCACTGGAACAGCACATGGAGAATAATGTATTGAACCTGTGCAATCAAGAAGCTTTAAATGCTTTTGGGGGAAAGGGCGGAAAGTAACCAAGACACTTCCCTCATCCAAGACTTGATTTTTTATTATTTGATATGAAATGAATTAGCTGTTGTATTCTATATCACCCCATTCTCTAAAAGTTGTGGGGGTTTTGGCACAGAACAGCACTTTGAGCATTCAGCTCACCAAGCTGCAGGGAGAAGGACTCTTTTCTGTGTGAAACAAGGCAAAAGAAGAGATGTGAGGGCTGCACTCCTCTGTGACAGTCACCACTGCTGTAAAGTCCAAAAGCCTTCAAAGACCAGATGAAAATGCAAATTGCTTTGTAATTCTTCCACAGTTGTTCAACCATCTGTATACCCAACTGCATACTAACAGAGTCCTGACATGCTATTGAGTAGCTTACAAAGAACACCTGGGGGGAAAATACCCTTTCAGACTCAATATGAATCACTGAAGAACAGGAGGGATGGGGCAGCTTCCTCACAAATTATCATAATCATCATCATCCTCGTGCTTCCTTTTCAAGGGATTCGATTCATTCGCTGCATTCTGTGATGATACCATATTTGTAGTAATAAGAATGTTCTTTGGTCCAATTAATGATGGATTAATTAGCACATTCTGAACTGTTGGAGTAGTTGGTGTGGCTGCAAAGATGAAAGAAAGAAGTCAGTAACTGAACATGTGGAAAAATGATTTTCCTACACTGAAACCCAATTTCCACTCTGAAGCTGTCAGGGGAGAGAGCAGAACTGTGAGGGAATGCAGAAGGGACAGTGAAGGGATAAGGGAAACCTGTGCAACAGTGCATGCTCTGATTGACATCCCTGTTCTACAGATGGGAACTAAAAGTAGGAGTTACCAGAATGACTGACGAGATTGTCTCACATGAGGAGATTAAGGAGATTTCTAATACCTAACACTGGAAGTGAAATAATTTCCCACACTATTACTACAAATTAATTTCTTTTCTGCTACAAAGAACACCGGGAAGTTGTGCAGAACTGAGGAATCATTGCTTGGTAGTTTGTCTCTTACCTGTCTTGACTGCTGCCTGAGAAGAGGGGATCTGCACAGTGAACCTCTGCCCCGTGAGCGACACCGGAGTGCCCACTTTTGTTGAAACAGACACTGTTTGTGCTGAAGGTGTTCCTAAATTCAAAACGATTCACTCAGAATACACAGGAACACACTGACACACACAGTGATGTAGACTTACCACAGGTTACAACAGTCGTTTTAAAATAAACTTACTTGTTTTTTTTGATGCTGTCAGTTCAGGTGCCAAATGCTAAGTTCGTGTGGCACCCACCATTACCAGCTCCCTAAGCATGCTTTAAAAACACTTCTCAAGACTTTTTCCTTCACCAAATCACCATGGGAAACCCCCACCGAGCTGCTGCTTACCTAAGGTGGGTGTGCTGGGCCTGCTGCTCACAGCTCCGACGCTCAGGCGAGGGACTGTGATCCTTCCTGCAGAGGAGGCCACCTGGCAAGAGAAAATGCTCAGTTTAACATCGCATTTGGAATGAATTAACAGCTCTTCACATGCAAGTGGGAAGTGGTTCCTCCCACAAGGCCACAGACAGCAATATTTTGTTAGACTGCAATCTCTGTTCCAGTACTGAAGTTCTCAGACTCTGATGTGAATCCATGAGCTGGAGAGCTTGTGGACAAAGACCTGCATAGAGCTGATCTGCCAGCAGCACACAGGTCAATCAAGTTAGCTTCTACAGGGGAGAATAACTACAACACTGATCAACAATGACACTTCTACTCCTCATCCAGCACCAAGTCACATCCCTTGTTGATACCAGCAATCTAACCTTAAGCCCAGTGTTTACAGTTCTTTCTTTAAAATGAACAGAGGCATTCGATACTATTCAGTAAGCAAAGTGAATCTTCTCCCTCTAAAACAGATTAAAAACTAAAACATAAGTAAGTAAGTTCAAAACACCTTTCAGTATCTGTGCTACCAAACACCTTACCTTATTTTTGCCTTTTCCAAGCAGACTGATAAGGCTTGTAAATTTTGCTGTAAGACTAAGAAAACTCACAGATGCTCTTTTTATACTATTTGTATTTGAAGTTAATCAGCAGTTAGCATACCTAGAAATCCTTAGAGACAATAACCACTTACTTCCAGTGTGCACAGGTCGGTATTCATAGAATCACACCATACCACAGCCTGAGTTGGAAGGGATCTTAAAGATCAGGCTGCCCAGAGCCCCTTGGGCACCTCCAGGGATGGGCACCCCCATCTCTGGGCAGCAGTGCAGGTCACTGCAGTGCAGGGTAAGTGATTTTCCCCTCACATACGATATAAATCTCTCCCCTTTTAATTTAAAGTCATTCCCCTCTTGTCCCGTCACCATCAGACTGTGTGAAAGTCACCCTCCCTCTGCTTATCAGCACCCTTTAGGCAGAGGAAGGGCACAACAATGCCTCCCAAGGGCTCTCCCTCCCCAGGCCAAACACACCCAGCTCTCAGCCTGTCTCCAGGGGAAAGGAGCCGCAGCCATCACACCCCCCTTTCAGCAGCACTCCCTGCAAACACAGCGTGCTCTCCGTGCAGCCAGCCCTGCCCAGCCCCTCACCTTCTTCTGCAGGGACTTCAGGCGGTAGTTGGGCGCCGTCAGGCAGTATCTGTCAGGGGGCAGCCTGGGCCCGGAGTAAGGTTTGATCAGCGGCAGCGGCGTCTGGTTCTTCTGCCTGGCGATGTCCAACAGGAACTGAACGTAGGGCGTTACGCACCCGCCCGCCCCGCCGCCCCCGGCCGTAACTCACATCGCGGGGCGGCGGGGACGTGAAGGACTGATCGGTGCGGCACTGGATCGCCAACCTCACGTCGTCCGCGTCCACGCTGGACTTCTTGGCGTGGCTGGAGTAAATCTTCGCGTCCTCCAGGATCGTGGTCACGTACCCTGGGAAAAGAGGAGGCTGGGCTCAAACCGTCCCCCCCCCCCCCCCCCCCCCCCCCCCCCCCCCCCCCCCCCCCCCCCCCCCCCCCCCCCCCCCCCCCCCCCCCCCCCACCCCCCCCCCCCCCCCCCCCGGCCGGGCCCGGCCGACCCGCAGCGCCGCCCCGCTCACTGTAGGCGAACTCCAGCATCTGGTTGATGACGCGCGGCTCGTACTCCGTGATGCCCATATCCTTCAGGATCTGCGCCATCACCTGCGGGGAAACGCGCACCGTCACCTCGGCCCAGCCCGGCCCGATTCGGCCCCGCGGTCTCGCTCCGTACCTGCGCGTCTTTTGGAGCGCTCTTGGGGGACGCCATCTTGGCCGGCTCCATCGCTTCCGCCTCCGCAGGTCGGCCACTTCCGGTTGCGTCATCAGGGGGCGGGAGCGCCGCTGCGGCGGCCGGAAGTGCAGGAGGCGTTGCCATGGAGACGCGGCCTCGTTGTTGGGGGGAGGGAGGGAGCGGCGGGGCGCGCGGCCTGCCCGCATCGCAGCGGTCGCTGCCTTCTTTCCGTTTAACACGCAGCGTAGTGGCGCGGGATCAGTGCTTTTAACATAAATACATCGGTGGGGAAAATGACAGCCACGGCAGCACCCCCTTCGGGCCCGTGCTGAGCACAGAACGATAGAACCACAAGATCACCCAGTCCCACCACACTGTTACCACAAGCACTAAAGCACATCTCGCAGCCCCTCATCCAGGCGCCTCCTGAACACTGCAGGGACGGCGACTCCACCACCTCCCTGAGCAGCCATCCCAGTGCCTGGCCTCTGGCTGGGAGAAAAAGTTCTTCCTCACGTCCAACCCAAACCTCCGCTGGTACAACTTGCAGCCATGCCCTGTTCGTTGCCTGGGAGAAGAAGCCAAACCCCTCCTCACCACAGCCTCCCTTCAGGAAGTTGCAGAGTGCAGTGAGGTCTCCTCTTGTGGGAATGGATATTAAAGAGAGCAGTCGGTTTGAAGAAGTAGAACATCGTGCATTTGTATTCTGTAACTCATCCTTAGAGATAGTTGATCTAAGAAGTAAAATACCATATACGTTAGCGGCGTGTTTTAGGAACATTATTCCTGAATTATGTGATTAATTCTTTCTTGCAAAACTGGAATAGTTGTTAAACGTTCCAAACAATGCGAGTAGAGTGTTAGGGATTAGCAAACATATTGTAGAGCTGTTCTGTTAGCATAAGCA